TGAATGATGTCCACGTGTCCACTATCAACAGTGCCGGTGTTTGTGAGTCCGGAGTTGCTAGATGCTGGATGCCAGATCGCACTCAATCTGACATCAACACCCACTCTACCATCTTCATTGCTCATCATATACGTTTTACTCCCCCGAACCTTCAATTTCTGCGCACGGAGGAAACTCCCACTCGGTAGCAGGTAGTTAGGTAGAAGAAGGTGTCAGCAAAGCATTAAAAGATCATAAAACGTGATAAAATCGCCATGAGAGTATTTTCTAGTCTTTAAAGGAAAAATTCTATATTGCAAAGACTCCGTCCCCCACAAAACCCGAACCCAAGCCTCTCGCTCTTAAAGCTTCACGCTTACCACGACACCAAGCCGTCGTTGAGAAGGGAGGCACATTCATGTAATTTAAGTTTTCTTATGTTTAGCTCCCTGAAACCACCCTCATAACTCCGTTTAGAGAAACGCTTGGCAGATTTGGAAATCAGATTTGAACTCAGCATCCAAAAACAGCATTGTAGGTCTCTTCTCAAATGGCCACTTCGACTTGGGATCCTTCCCTGGTTAGTTCAATTTTTGGCGATAAAGGACCAGTGTTTATCGATGGAATGGTGGAATCATCCGCGGTCGTAGTTTACTCCAAGACGACTTTCGTGGAGGCTCGCCTAAAGATAGTGGCGAGAAATTTTCATGAAATTTCACTGGAGCTCGGGAACGGAATTAATCACAGTCTGAAAACAAAAGCAAAATCTAATTAATCCAGTTGGTAAACCGAAACTGGAATCAGAATTGTATTAACCTCTAGGAGGGAAAACTTTCTTATTGCTGAGGGGAAAACCTAGCTCAAAAGATTTATTTAGGCCAAAAAATGAAGTTAATCGTGAACACTTTCGTGCGATTATTTTTTACAACTTTTTATTTTTTACAACTACGTGAAGTGCATGGGCGAACGCAGTCCCATTTTTAGCGATAAAAGACCAATGTTTATAGATGGTATGGTGAATTCATCCGCGGTCGTAGTTTACTCCAAGAAGACTTTCGTGGAGGTCGTCCAAATCAAAATCACTTTGCTCCGGAAACCCGTCATGTGTTTCGTCATGTGACCTATCGTGAGATTGGGACAACCTTAGGCATTAGTGGGTCCAGCATACATTCAGTTTTCCATGAACACTTGACCGTCAAAAAAATTCGTTCAAGAAAAAAAGTCTTCACTACGACAGTGCGAGCTCTCACACATCGGCTCAAACAACTGCATTTTTGAGCACTCAAAACATCGACTTGATGGGTAATCCGCCATATAGTCCTGGCTTGACACCGTATGGCTACTTTTTATTCCCGTACGTATAAAATGAGTTTAGAGACCAACGTTTTTCGACAACTGAAGAAGCTATTGATGAGTTCAGAAGGTACTTCATCTGGAGATACTTCATTCAGAGTGGCAAAAGTGCTTCGACAATTGGCTCAAACGCATGCAAAAGTGTGTAGACCTTAATAGGAAATATTTTGAAAAAAATAAAGCAATTTTCAATGATTGATATTTATTTTACTTCTCTACTCCCGAAATATAAAAGGCAACCTACGTACGGACTGTGTAAGCTTGCATAGCCATCTACTGGTCCTACAAGTGAAGTTATGTTGGCTGGTTGTGAGCTTGCAACCAGCTAACAACGGTACAAATGGAAAAAACACCACTTCTTTCATCCGCGGGACGAAATCTTCCACGAGTGGAAGAAGTGGCGGTTTTTCCATTTCATAGTACTCACGAACAAACGCAGCCGAAGACAAGAAATCTACGAGCACTCATCAGAAGTAAGCTGATACTGCATTCACCTAACTCTGAACCAAACTTATGAAATCTCAAGAAAAACTTATAGTGTTTCTACCTGCAGAATGAGAAGTGCCTCTGATCCTGGACGATAATTCATCAATGAGATCTTGCTCGTATGAGCTCGCATCGATGGCTCTGCACTACGGGAACCCCTTATGTCACCATTCATTCCCACTGCTTATGTAGACACTTCGATGAGAATGACGGCCCAATACGATGCTCGTTGACTCATTAACAGTGATAGCAACTGAGCGGCAAGTTTTTTTCTCATCTGAATAATGCCTCCTATCTGACGGGCAGATCACAAAAAGTTGGACCGGAAATTCTTGACGGAATTCTAGCTTTTCCACGAAAAGCTTAACCTACATAGGACACAGTGAATTTCGGAGTCAGAAAATAAATAAAGAGTTTCTCTCCGGTGAGTGTACTGATTGTTTAGGGTACAGGGAACAAAAAAAAAGAGTCCACTATGCGAGACTTGACTGAACAGTTCGAAGTCCATTCTGTCTGAAACCTTAGAAGAAAGAGCAGAAATAATGGCTGCGGTTTCGATAAGTGATAAGTGATAAGTGAATGGAAAGTCCAAACGATGTAAAAANAAAAAGGATGCCCAAACGTTGGGAAGGTATTGTGAAATTATGGAAAAGAGTTAAAAGAATCATATCTAGGCACCCGATCCCACTAAATGGTACCGAAATTGTCGATTAAATGACATCCAATGATACCTGCTAGTTTTTCGTGCTGGCTGCGCTCCTTGATACCTGAGTGGCACTTTATCCCTTTTGGAGGGCCTGTGGCCAGTGTCTCAAAAGCTTTAGAGCCTATCCATTACCCCCACTAAAAAAATCACTCGACCAGGTACAAGTTGTCCACTAGCCCTGTTTCCTCCGAGGATCAATGCCAAACCTAGCAATTTCTGTTTCTTGGAACATTTTCCTACTAGATTTGAACAAAAGTAACGTAAAGGGCTCAATGTCGTCTGATAAGAGAGATTGAAAAGCTCAGAGAACCAGTTTTCCGCCAAGTTCGCCTGAAGGAGAGTCAATCTCAAAGATGATCAGCTCAGAACAGGTCCTGTAAGGACGTCACTATCGCTTAATAGGCGGCATCGAGTTGACAATGTTCAAGAACGTTCCTCTGACCGGCACTTCGAATAATTCCAACATTCGTCTCTACGCCCTTCTTGAAGGACTTCGAAAGCATTCACAATTAGACTAACCTTGGAAAGCCCTCATAAACCAATCCAAAGACAGCCTCGATTGGTTCTTCTTTCTTTCCCTCCGAGATTCGCTCATATCGTAACTTGTTACAGCTTTCACATTCTCGTCTTTTTTACCACTCCCTATCTCCTTTTGCCACTGTTCTTTTGACAGCTTTCATTATTTCTTAAATCACCATGGTGTTTTCATTGAATACTTGTTTTCGAACGCTCGTATGTACCTGTTTTGTTTTGTTGTCTATTCTTAACACCACTAATTCCACTTTCTCGTTTTACCTATTTTCTCGCTCAATTTTCTGGTCCTGCTGGACAATGATTGAGCGATTCAACACTGTATCTCACATCGTACCATTCATCCCGTCTCCCCTTTATCGAAATAGGAGCCTGTGAAAAAACTTTTAGAACAATCCGAGCGTTTTTCTATCCACCGATAAGTTGCAAACCTCCTACTTTGCTCAAAAGACGACGATGTTTGTAGACGATTTTGATTTCTATGACTTACATAAGACCTGGATGTCCTTTCGGTGCGGCGGATTTACGGATCTCCATTGATTCAGCAAACTGTATTGGATCGAATCCCTTTGAATGGATTCCGAACGTGATTCCAATTGAGCTTGTTGCTTTTTTTTGGCTGGCATCAATGGTCGTTCGATTGCAGGCAAAAACTCGACAAAAGAATTCAGCGACGAGCCTATTAGGGAGAGCAGTGATTGCCGATAATTTTTTCAAGGGTCTTATCCGGTAACTCGGTTCAAAATGAAAGGATGCCGAGAACTCGCTGCTGCGAGACCCTGCTAAGACTTTAGACCCTATGTATTTTTTGCTAGTGCCTTTGTTTAAACCACTGTGCAAGAGATCATTTCAATTCACGTGCTTGCCTTACAGCTGCTGTAGCGATCCCTAGCCTTTCACTGTCAGCAGATGGCTAAGCATAATGAATTTTGCAGTTTGGGATCCCGGTCTCGTTCTAGAACAGGCAGAAAGGAGAAGCTTCTTTGTTACGAATCTTGGCTCAGTCATCACTACACCTTTCTTCATCAAATTTTGATTTTTTGTGCCCTTTCCGACCATACTGAGAACACCTGCTGAATGGGCTAAATGTCAATTGGTTTCAAATCCAAGGCAACAGCAAAAAGCAAACAAGCCGCACTAGTTTTCATTGATCACGGATGGCAAAACTAAGCTCAAAGGTCACACTAGCTACCACGTTGCAGCTTCTGCATCTTTGTGGGGTGCGTCACGCAAAAACCTTTCTACAAGAAAGGATAAAGCTTCTAAACGTCCTATTTTTCTTCTTCTGACTGCCTGTAGACTCGTCCCCCACCTAACAAAAAATTCGCTTCCCTGTTGAAAGGTGAAGCCGTTATTCTATCGTCGATTTGCAGCGTTAAATACTTTGAGCGATCAACGTCCCTCGCTGTTTGGATGCGAAGAATTAATTCTACAATGGCTACGATTCACGAAACTGGCAAACATTTCTGACCTTTCGTGACGTGCGAGTACTATTTCTACAACCGTAATGGCTAGTTTCAAAAATGTAGACTGACATTTATGCTTCAATCCTGCGCCGTTACTGCACTAACTGCAGAGGAAATGCAGATTTCTACGAGATTGATGAGTATAGTTGTGAATAAAACGTACAGATAGGAAAGCATAAAAATGCGAAAATATCTCGGCATTCGCAATTCTCGGTACACTGCGATCACTGTTGCAACCGCTTAGATGTGGTCTAAGCAGCTGAATCCCCTCCAGAATCCGGCCTGTTCTGCAGGTCGAGCTTCATTAAACGTTCTCGTTTAATGAGGGTTAGACTGATCTTCGTGAACAGCTTGTAAAGCACACTTGACATGCTTTGGCCGGTAGTTGGGAAGATCAACCTGGTCTCCCTTCTTGTGAAGAATGACCATCAGCAATTTCTTCCATTAGTTGGGGATCTTCTTCTTCTGGAGGTAGGATGTTATGTCTGCTGCGGGAAGCGCATGAAGTTCGTAGCCACCTGCACGGAGTCCTTTTCATAATCGCGATCGCGACCCTCATCTACGAATCGGGATCCGAGGTGCTCTTTCGCCATTGCGGATTTTTGGTTTTCGCATGTGTGTCGTGGATCGGTACAGGTTGGTGTAAAACCTCCGTGTAACTTCCTCCATCTCAAATCTCGATGTTGTAAGTAATCCGTCCTCCTACTTCAAACACGAAAAGGGGAATACTGTGGTCTTGAAGATCTCGATGGCATTTCCTTAGATTAGTTCTGCTCAAGACTGTCTTCAGTAGTCTCCTCTCCCTTCATAAGCGAAGGTCTCGCCGCACTGCCTCCCTGTAGCTGATATTCGCTTGCAGCCTTTCAAGATGTGTGGCGTTCTGGCCTAGCCTAGAGTTTCTTCTTGTCCTGAGATGCACCTGGAATGCGAGCGGAGGTATCCACTCGAGGAAGCTTGGCCTCTTCATCACAAGTGAACAGACCCCAAACCAGAGCGTCGTAGTCTTCAGTCGTTTCTCCAAGACCTGTTAGTCATATTGGGATAGGGCGCCATTCAGAACATCGCCGTCGTATACAACATGCTTCAAACTTTGCGCGATGTTGAGAGATCTTTTCCAGCTTGTGACTGAATCCGATCTTAGCGCGGAGGAGTCGATGACCAGAACCCTAGTAGGGAGATGGAACCACACCAACTTTTTGTTTATTAATATGTGGTCCAGTTCAGCATGAGTTGCACCGTTTGGAGACTCCCATGTCCAACGGCGGTGTTCCTCTTTCTGGAAGAAAGGGTTTGCATGGAAGAGTCGAGCCCTTCAATTCCAACAAGAGTCCAGCCAGACTGTTTCCGTTCTCGTTCCTGTCCCCCATTCCAAACTTTCCAATCCTGAACTCCTCCTCCTGTGCTTCGCCAAGCCTAGCGTTGAAATCTCCAACAATGAAATTGTAGAAGTACTTTCCGTTGTGGATGATTTTTTCAAGTTGGTCATGAAACGCATCGAGCTCTACTTTTTCAGCTGTAGAGCGTGGAGAGTAGGTGGTGACGATAGAGATGGCCTTATGTCGAAGGCGTGGGATGGCGAAGCGAGGAGCAGGACCTCGTAAGAATCGACGGGATGATGACTGATGGGTGCACGACGAAACCAACGCCGCCGACGTTTCGCGATGGAAGCTTTTCACCACAAATGATGGCGGTTCCATCATTCATTCGCCGTACGTCGGTCCTCCTGCACTTGGTTTCTTGCAGCGCAATCACATGATACTTAATGTGATTAGCCGCATCGAGGAGCTCATGGAGAGAGGCATTGGAAGGGCTGTTCTCGCGTTGTAGGTATGAAGTAGGAATCAGTCTCCTTGTCGTGTGGAGAGAGTGCTGTCATGGTTCGAAATCCTGTTCGACCCAAGATTTCTTCGCCTCTCACCGGTCGCCATACTGTCCGATGCCGGAAACCGCTGGGCCCAGCGTGTGGGGAACTGAGGCTGATTCATTGCTGTTTCAGCAAGCTTGCTCCTGGAACCTTAACATTGCCTTGCCAGGGGCAGTGTTGAGTCTTCACCATCATGGCTATAGCTGACCTACTCATAGCCGTTCAGACATGCAGACGTGCCGTTGAACTATTAGTTATATATAGATATTCATATAAATAGTAATTAAGAATAATGAAGGCTCCAACGCAAAACGCGGACGAGTTGATGAATTCTCATCTGAATCTCAAAGGCACAGCCCATTATAACTTTGAGTTGCCCTTTTTTGGTCAAAAAGCGGGACAGTAGCGAGAATAGTTAATCGTTAGTGAAGAATGCGAGAAAATTCGCCGAGTTCAAGAGAAAAATAAGGCTTTTCAAATGTAGGGATAATAGAGGCTGGACGAGATCACCACGAAGGAAAAAAATGGAAGGGGTATTTGGACGAGATTTCAGTTGTTGCAATTGCTCAAAGAACTGACGACATCAAGCTAGAACTGTGAAGAACTACCTTTCACTGTCACTATGGTCCACGGCAAGTTGGTTGGCCACCCTACTTTGGCTCCCCTGCGATTGGTGCAACCTCTACACTGTCGGTGAAACTCGTTCGAGTTTACACACGTTACAGTTTTCCAGCCTTTATAACGCCCCATCCAGGCCGTTTTCAGGTACGGCAGCGCCACATACGGCATGCAGGGGTCCTGCAAATTACTTTCGCGGGATATCTTAAAAGTCACTTTTATCGTAAAATCCTGAACCAGCAGATAACAAAAAGTTAGCAGACGTGATTGAGATAGCTCCGTCTCTAACGTGGTTCTGAGCGAAGGAAGTCGGGCCGGTCGATATCTAGGTTAACGACTAATAATTATATGACAGTACGCCATTCTCAGTTTCAGGTATTCTGGTTCTAGTCTACTGAACGGAGCATCGTTCATTGTTTATTTGGCTGTAGGTCTCATCAATAATACCACAAGACATGTAAGCCTCCCTAAGTCTCTGGAAGATAGAGGAATAGCCTTACGCATAGGTTCCTTTTTTTGATTTGCCTTTCAAATGAATCTGTTATCATACATAAAGGAATCTAGACGGTAAGTTGGCCGCCGATCCGCGACGGCTGCTTCTATCGCGTCATCTTGTTTTCAGATAATGACTCACACAATCGCTGTTCGTCTCTGCCTGAAGTTCTTGTTCGAATTCGATCTATATGCTTTTGCGATCTGATCGCTCAATCAGCACTAGTCCACTACTATTTAACCCTACTCCATTTCTTCAGTAAAATCCTTCTTCCTTCCTCTCCCGAAAGTATTATATAATGCTCTTTCCGTTACTGTTATTATTTCTGTTACAATTAATTTAGTTGTTTCTTGGAAGATTTTTTGAAGTCTGTTTCATATGAGAGCGAATCAGAAACCAGTGGTTATAAAACCTCACTTGCTGTGAAGATGAACTACAGGAGGTTCTGACACTAACCTGCATGTTCAATTTCTCATAAGTAGGCAAGAGATGGTCTTCCCAGTCACAGCATGCGACTCTTCCATGGACGATGCACTGATTTTTCAATCGGAATCCCAAGACCATTGGAATGGCCGTCAATTCTGGTCCGAAGCTGAACTTCCGCCCATATTTCGCCAACGCTGTGTGCGTCAAATATCTCATCGCAGTGGAAGGGAATGACAAGCTAAACTCCTCCGGAGAATGATGCAATTTGTCGTAGTCGAAAGCCAGCAACTTATTCACTTCGACCGAAGCTATTCAAGCTTTAAGTGAATAACTTTTTCAATTAAACGGTCCACTTTTCATCTTACGGATAAAACCCTCGTTATGATCCTGTTACTCAGCGACTATCCATCTCAGGGGAAGAGATGATCACGTCCCTATGGCAGAAAGAGCACAGCACATAAACTACCAAAATCGCAAACTCACGAACAACTTATTTATGTGAGCTGAGTAGCCCCAGCAAAAAACAAGCCTTCTATCTTCCATCGTTCTAGTGAAGGAGTCCTTTCAGGAGTGAAAAAAAATGAGGAAAGGAGACTATCCATGATATTTTTGCTACAAGTTTACTCCTATACAAGTCCCTCTAAAAAGTGGAACGCCTATCTTCTGGTTGGTTATGCTTCTAAATTTGCAAAACCTCAACGCAGTGGCACTAGTACTCCGACCATCGGAAGAAAACCTCAAGCGGTCTTCAAGAGTGGTGTCTCAGGAAAAGCCTCCAAACCTTACCTCTGCAATGAAAGCAGAACGAGGGTCAGCTGTTACTTTTAGCGAATCTGTGGAATTTCTCATGAAAGGAAGTCATGGGTGTCGAGTGAGTGTGAAGTTCTTTCTGAACGCTTTCTTGAAGCATTCCTCCAGCATCAAACACGATATTACCCGCATTACATCCTGTTTCTCTGTTTCCTAGAGTGGACGCTGGTAACGTCTCCTTTCGTCTCTGTCGCAAGCCAAAGTTGTCTAGTGTATTGTACTCGCTCGAGGGGATAAGACGTAGCATCCTTTCCTTTCAGAGTTTCCGTGAGGAAGTCTATGACGCTGGCGGCTGGCTTTGTGCTGGTTTTATGTGCTGAGGGATCCAGTCAGTACCGCTCTCGTCTGAAGGTACTCAAAATGTTGCACGACGTGTTCACCTCACCTGATACTCAATTTTATCGCGTGAACAACGGCATCCCTGATCTTCGTTCATTGACGGAACTCGGAACTCTACATTCCCCTCTGCGCTTGCGCGTATGGGGTAAAACTGAGCATGACCCTCTCAGCAGCGCGTGGAATGACATTGATTGCATGCTCATCATACTCCGTAAAATATGGGATAGCCTGGTTAGCTAGCAGAAGCCTAGTAAGCCCTTACGTCAGAGCTTAGCGCGCTGCTCCTGGGTACCCATATGCCAAAAAATGTAGTCAGAATAAAACAGAATTCGCCCATAGAAAACTGACAGCGATGCCCAAGCCCAAGCACAGCTCCCGGAGATACGTGCGATAGAAATGAGTTCGTTTGTATCGCAGTTCCGAGGTTACAGCTGAGACCCTTCGTTCAGGAATCATCACTAATTAATGAGACGGTGAGGCGGAGGGGTGTACATGAAGCTCTCGATCATCGAGGGGAGAGGATGATTACAAAATCAGCGATTTTTTTCGAGCAGCACTTAAGCGTCTCTTTGGAGATAACTGAACTTCTCGCAATTCTTCGAAGTAATGAACCGAGGGCTAGCTGGGAAATGAAGCCTAGCATATCGAGAGCCATACAAAACCAGTTCAAAATGCTACAACTTCTCATGCAAGGACAAAAAAACGGGATAACTTGCCATACGTAAACAAATGAAGGGATATCTTGCCATACAGGGCCAGGATGAACGGTGGTCTGAACTTAATATTCATCAACTAAGACCTAGTTTTTAGGCCGCAGACTACATATATAGTAGGAGCTCATGATCAAACAGTGACACCAGAAGCAAACTAAAAACTACCCTCACTGTACCAACTACTTTTTAAATACTTGTTTTAAATGAGCTTCACACCCGGCATCTGTGCATGAAGACCGAGAACGATTTCATTTTCTCCTGAAATCCAGCTCGTTTAAGACGCAGTGGATGAACTATTGACCTAGAAAAACACCATAAAACCTGTTTTGAAGTTGCTTTCAATGGGTCTTCTCCTCCTGATTCGAGGGCACTTCATTTTTTTCCGTTCATAACTGCACCGCAAGGTTGGTATAGAATTAGTATTATTTAGTGCTCTCGCAGCTACGCCAAGGGAAAAACGTAAGCTTGGCAGTAGGAATTATCAGCAACATATGTACTGCTAATTGGTCGAACAGCTTTGCTGCATGGAATACTAGCCTCCGAAGTAACTTAAACATAACATACATGTCATAATTTGTGGAAATGGAGGGAACCCTTCCTTTATGAGTTGCTGAATATGATTTGCCAAACGGACAAGGCAGTCGCAGCTATCGCTCTCCCCTATGTATCCCTACACTCGGCCAGTTAGAGGAAGACAAAGTCTTATTCAGGTACCTAAATAACGGCAACATCAAAACTTTGCCCCAGAGGCTCGCAAAAAATCCACCGCCCTTGCCCGGTTGCAGATTTATCACCAATCGTACTCCTTGAGCGTTGCTCTTGTTGAATCCCCCTTCTCAAGCACCACTCGGTTCAACTAGCTTGAAACTTACTATGGTCTAGAAACTGCACTTAATGACTTTTTTGACTCACGGTTTCCTGACTTTTTAGCAAAAGCCATCACCGACCTCTTCAAAAGTGGGAGTAGGCTATTTATCTCTCTGGTTGATACGATATTTTAAAACCCTGTTTAATTTCACAAGTACTAGAAATAAATTCAAGATTATCTTATCTTTGTCAATGAACTCCCTTGCCAAGCTAAGATTTATAAACACCGCAAAGTCATCCAACCACTTCCCAAACATTGCAATGGCTACGTCGAAATCGGTGTTGATTAATGGAAAGTGCCCATGCACCGCAATCCGTTCAGAACATTCATATCTAATAAGCTACTGTTCAGATCTGGTTTCGTATATCACATTCAACTAGGAAGAAGCTCTACATTATTGGGTCAGAAAAACTTTAGCCAAACGTTAGTAATCTCATATCTTCCTTCGGATCTCTGAACTCCAATAGGGATCTGAAACAAAGGCTAGTAAATGATTCATGATGATACTAAATCTACCTTCTTTTTGATATTCACACTAATAGCTTAAGTGAAGAATATGTATTTACAAG